TGTGTGTGCGTGTTTGCATGTGAAGGGCACAAGGGAAAAACCAGAGATGTCAGTTGTTTTTTTCATTTTCTGGGCTATTGTCCCAGCATGATGCCTGGCTGGGTCTGCTTTAGTTCATCTAAGTCACATACGGAAAAACCAGCACTGCCAGTCTCGGTGAGGGTTTGAGAAAATAGCCCACAATGGAAGAACCAGCGATGTCAGGATGTTAATAACGGCAAAACCAGCGATGTCAGGATGTTAAAAACGGCAAAACCAGCGATGCCAAGCATACGTTGCTTTGTTGCATCCCTTTGTGGCCAATCAGTGACCATATTTCAGTGAAAAATGGTGAAATCGTATAAGATTAACACCCCTGTCAACACAATTAGGTTATTTAAGAGCCGAGACCTCCGAGTTTAACGTCCATCTCCGAAAGGACGGAGCCAAAAAGGAAATTCCTGTAAAGTGTCTTTCCAAGGACACAACGTCGCACCGAGCTGAGGCTCGAACCCTTGCACTGTTCTTATATGCGCTGCTAAATGGGAAAATCATTCATTGAGTACACATTACTGCGCTAACCTTTGATTTTTCGAAGAACTTGGGTTGCTCAAACATCTCAGCAAACGATTTGTACAATCGTTGGCCGATATCTCGCTTCACCTATAAAATCTACTCTCTTTAAGTGTGTGTGTGTGTGTGTGTGTGTGTGTGTGTGTGTGTGTGTGTGAAAGGCGAAGGGGTAAAAATCGGATTTTATTTTGCTGTATAATAGACTTTTAAGATGTAATTGTTTTGTTTTCGCTTGGTAATAGTTTTTCAGAGCTCGCAATACATAAGGCCACATGAGATCGATTCAACACAATTTATGTCTTATAGGATTTAGGCATGGGGTCAACACGTACTGAGAGGGACACAGCATCTCAGCTGACAGACCGAGAAACTCATCCTAACATTTCTCGCTACACGAGGATCGGACTCATGTCTACTGCGTTTGGCTACGAAGCGCCAAACCGCTTCACCACAGAAGCTGGTGGTAATCAAGTTTGTTTGTTTGAATAAAGAGAATTAGACTATATCTAGACTCAATAATGGTCATTTAAAGGGGGGGGGGGAGTAAGATAGACAGACAGAAACAACAGAGGGAAAGTAAAGAAGTAGGACCTACCACTGGCGCCCTCCAACAACCGGCGTAAATGAAATGAGGCGACAGGGAGATGAAGTAAGAAACACAAGGTGTACAATTAAGAACAATTACCTCGTTTTCGGCCCAGAATCCCGCCTCGTAGTTGGGGTCGTTCCTGACCTTGAGCTCCATCTCCCTCGACCTTTCCACAAACAGCTGAATGACGTATGTGCTCAGAGCTAAAGGAGGAGTTGGGAGGGATGGATGGGAAAGAGGGGGGACAGGAGGAGGTGGGAGGGTTGAGAGGGGTCATAGTTAGGACGAGTGCGTGGGACATGGGAAGCCGTGGAGGACAGGGAGGTGGCAGAAAGCAAGAAAAGGAAAGGGGGGAGGGGAGTATTTGACAACAACAACAACACCCCCAACAAACAAAAAAAAACAACAAACAAACAAACAAACAAACAAACAAACAAATAAGAAAAATAACAGCAACGACAAACAAACAAACAAGCACCCACCACAAAACAAAACAAAACAAAATATACAAATTGCTCCTTATATTCAATCACAACTTAAAGAAGGAGGGGGGATGAATGTAGATATTACGGTTCTACTGATCACCTTTTATTTCAATTTAGCTCCAAACATGTCGTTGTTGCTGTTGCTGATGATGATGATGATGATGATGATGATGATGATGATGATGATGATGATGATG